TAGTGAGCGCATGGTGGAAGCAGTTTTATTATTATTTTTTAAAATAAATTTTAATTGATTAATGAATTATAACTATAGAATGAAATATGTATTTTGGATTTTAGATTTCAAAACTATTATTATTATTATTATTATTATTATTATTGTTATTTGAGACTATCTGTAGACCAGGCTGGCCTTCAACTCAGAGGTCCGTCTGCCTCTGCCTCCTGAGTGCTGGGAGTAAGGACTAGAGCCACCACCGCCAAAAACAATACTTTTAATGGACAATGCTACACACACACACACACACACACACACACACAGGCTAGGAGGGTAGCTTGAGACAGAGAATCCTAGACATTCAAAGTGTGTTTGTCCATTTAATGAGAGAAGACTTGTAGGTAGATTGAAGCTTGGCTGCTCTGTCCCTTCCTGATTGTGGAATCTGTAGTGCATTTCCTTCTTCAAGCATCGGTTTTCTTGTACGGCCCAGGGAGGGGAACAGACCACATCTTAGGTGGCTAGTGAGGATTAGAGATACCAGATGAAGGGCCTTAAGGAACCTTAGCAGCTACACAATTATACTTTTATCACTGACGAGCTGACCTCCATATTATCATACATAGCCTAATCATTTAACTCAGCATTTACACACGTTCCCAACTTTAAAGCAAAGGACTGGGAAGAGATAAATTGAAGTCTCTCTTCCATCTGAAATTGCGTTTGGTTAGGCTGCCTTTTAGCTCCTCACTGGTGTCATGTCGCCACCTAGTGGCAAGATGGAGGAAGGCTTGGGTGAGCCATCCATCAGCCCTGGGTGGAGTGGAGTGAAGATTCCCAGGAAACCACATTGCTGAAACTAGTACCCCACAAGTATCCTAACACAACACCACCACACAGCTGTTGAGAGGCTACAGGACATTTGGGTTATTCCTTGGTTTTAATTAATTCAGAGTCGTTTTAAGAGTCCCGTTGTCCTCCTCCTCTCCCGGCCCCTAGCCTGCTCTCTTACTTGGAGTTCTGACGGCTAGAATGGACTTGAGCCTAACCCAAAATAGGTGCCCGCACTGGTGCTAACAGGGTTTAAACGCTGGCTAGCTACGTGTGTGGACTAGTAAGCTATGCAAGCATTAGCTATTGCAGAATGGCGGAGTGTAATGGTATCTTGGTGCCTGGGGACATAGCAAGTGACCAGTATAATTAGGTATTATTACCGTCTTCACCGTTATCTCAATGGCCCCATACCGTATGTTTACAAGGATGTCCCCGGTTCTTTCTCAGAAGATACTCATGCTTCTTCCTCTTACAGTTTAGCTGTGTTAGCTCAAGCCTGCATTTAGTCCTCATGGGCGTTCCTGTATATACAGGGGCTCTTACATCTTGTTGGTAGGGGCAGTAGATAGGTATCAAACTAGGAAGGGGCCCGATGGGATGTCAAGGGAAGTTCAAGGGGTGCCAGGAACCCACAGCAGAGGCTCCAAGCGGCTGCCATAGCCAAGCAGGACTTCCCATGGACATAGAGTCCCTCTCTTGGCCATTCCTCATATGGTACAAAAACTTTTATTTCCTCACGGCGACCAGCGATTCTCCTCGTTCTATGAGTCTGTTGTTGGGAGATTATCTTACCGAGGAAAGCAGACTCGATTTCTGTAGGCAGGAAAAGCACGTGCTTCCTCTCTCTCTGCATAAACTGCCGTGTTCACACAGGAGATGTGAAGCAAGTTCCCTGTAATCTGTTCGCCCAAATGCAGCCAGGCTGGGATTAGTCGGTCCTGCCTCCCAGCTCCGCCTCCACCTTTGCTGATGTCCAGGCATTCCAGCTAGTGCTAGTGCTGCCCCTTGCAGGCCAGAGAGCCGATACTGATAACTGCATCGAAGCAGCATCTACTCACCTATGTGGTTTAGCTCACAAACGGCGGGAGAAGGCTGGAGAGCTAGAAAATGGGCAGAAGCCAGGAGAAACAGTGTGTCTGCAGGGTCCACAGAGGAGAACGCCAACCATGCCTAGGGATTCCAGCCAGAAGGAATTTTTATTTACTCGTTTAAAATTTGATTCATTTAAAAATTTAAAATCAGCATGCATAGTATTAGATGTCGTTATGGTATTTTTTTTGAAAGAAGTGTGTTTGAAGAGTGTTTCCTCCCCATCATCTCTCCTATTGTCTGATACTCCAGCCCTCCATCAGCTCATCTACTGCCCCATACCCCAGCCTCCATCATCTCTCCTACTGTCCCCATACCCCAGCCCTCCTCATCTTTCCTACTGTCTGATACCCCAGCCCCCATCATCTCTCCTACTGCCCCATACTCTAGCCCTCCATCATCTCATCTGCTACTGTGATACCTCAGTCCTCTGACATCTGTCCTATGCTCTGATACCCCAGCCCTTCATTATCTCTCTTACTACCCTGATACCCTAGCCCTTCCCAGCCTCCATCATCTCTCCTACTGCCCCCACACCCCAGCCCTCCATCATCTCACCTACTGCCCTGATACACAGCTCTCTCTATTACCTGCCACTAGTCTCTCTTCTGACTTTCATGTCAGCATGACCCTCTGACATTCTTTTCCCTGTTTTCTTAGAACCTCTTTCTACCCTCTCTTGGTCTCCTTTTTAGTTTTCCAGGTTTCATTTGTATCTGTGTTCATTTCTGTACATACGTGTACGCATTACAATCTAAGATCTACAGATGAAAGAGAACATGTGGTTTTTGCCTGAGTTTGAGTCAGGCAAATATTAATATTGTATCGCTTAATATTGTACTTTCTAGATCCACCCATTTTTATTTTTTTCCCCTCAAATTTCATTTTCTTTACAGCTGACTAAAATCCCATTCTAAATTGGTACCACATTTTCATTATCCACTCCTCTGTTAATGGCATGTAGGCTGGTTCCAAATCCTTCCTAGTCTGATTGGGGCAGAAATAAATATGGATGTGTAGGTATCTCTGTGGCAGGATTAGAGTCTTTGGATATATGTTCACGAGTGGGTCACTAGGTCATGTGGTTGCTCTATTTTTAAATTTCTGAATAATCTCCACGAGGATTTTCATAATGGTTGTACTAGTTTTCACCCTGCCCCCAGTGAAATAGAGCTCCTCTTTCCATACATCTCCAACAGCACTTGTCGTCAAATGTAGTACAGGGAGTTTGTTTGTGGGGACTAACAAGAAAGACAGAGCTCCTCTTTCCATACATCTCCAACAGCGCTTGTCGTCAAATGTAGTACAGGGAGTTTGTTTGTGGGGACTAACAAGAAAGTCAGCAATGAAGAGTGCAGAGGGTTATGGAGAAGGTAGTGAGTCCCCTCTGAGGCTGGGGACAGGGAAGGGGTGAGGGGTGATGGAAGAAGCAAAGGAGAGATGGGAGGACTGAGGGACACGGAGGAGGAGCCTCTGCTGGTGTTCAGAGTGCTGAGGGAAATACCAAGTGCTGTGTAGATTTGGGGCTTGAGGAGTGGAGAACCAGAAGCCCTATTGCTGGAGAAGACATTTGGCCGGGCCAGGGCATGCCAGGCTAAGCTGGGGGTTCTGGCTGAAATGCTGATAAAACGGGGAGAAAGCCTTTCTTTCATCCTGACATCTCTCCTACTTTGAGAGCAAACAGGAAGGATCAAGAAAGGTAGTCCTCATGGACTAGTAGATGGGCTCGGAATTACGAAGCATGGTATTGAAGGGCTGGCTCGGAGCTGAGAGGAAATAGAAAACGATGGGATGAGCAGGCCGTGTAGCCGGGAGCACAGTGTGGAGGCCCTATAGTTCATTCTCTGAAGCACACCAGCCCAGTGAATCCTAGTGAGGTCATTTCGCTTGCCCGGTCTGCCAAGAATCTGCCAGCAACCGATGAGCTCTGAATGGGTGAACCCTGAATGAGCGGTAGGTGGCAGTTGGTGTGTTAGGAAATTAGTCTTCCTAGCCCCTGGGACTGCGAGATTCACACTGGCCCAGATTCTCAGGGGTCCCTGTGGATGACGGACTAAGAGTAGGTCAGTAACCCAGGTACCTCTGAAGCTCCCAAGATTGCTCGTTTGGTGGGGGACAGGCCAGGGACTGTCTCCCCAACCACAAAGAAAGTGGCTACCAAAAGTCACCCCCTCCTAACTTTCCTTTGAAATATACCATTTCAAATTGAACATGGATACATTTATATTACACATACGGTGGATTAAAACTGTGTATACTGTGGAATGGCTGTCAAGTTTAACACATGGAACCTGTCCAGCACACTGTTATTAACTATAGTTGACACACTGTATAAACTAGGTCCCTTGGTCGTATTGCTCTTGTCTAATAAGAACCTTTTCGCCAGCATTTCCCCCCAGTTCCCAGCTGTTACTTTAATTTTGAGAAACCTTGCAAGCTGTGACTTGGACAATTGCAAACGATAATTAATCATAACCTTGTTTTGCAGGGAGTTGTGCTATAGATGGGAACCCTTATCTCTGGCTTTTCAAAAGAAGCTTTAGTTGTAGATGAACCACATTTGCTAAGTAACAAATGATGTTCAAGGAGGAATACTAGCCCAAACCACCCCAGCACTACCCTGCACATTTGGGTACCCCAGAACTGCCTTTGTTTGGGGCCTCCAAGATTATGCTTCCAGGATCTGGATTCTAGAGGTTGCCATTTTCAACTATAACGGAAACGCAGAGAAGGTTTTTTGTTGTTGTTGTTGTTGTTGTTTGGGATGTAGCCGCCTCTGGTGTTTGTAGTTAGGTCAGCCGCTGCTTTGATGGCTCCTCTGTGACCTTTCACACTTTCCCTGAACCGCTCTTTCCTCCCGCTCTGTGAGACCGGAGTACTTGACTGTTTACGTGGGATGGACTGCGGCTTTCTGATGACTGCTCCTGTTTGCCGGCAGGTTACCCTCTCCACGCCCCCGAAGCCTACTTTCCGTATTTCAAAAAGAACAACGTGACTGCGGTCGTGAGACTGAACAAAAAGATTTACGAGGCGAAACGCTTTACCGACGCCGGCTTCGAGCACTACGACCTGTTCTTCATAGATGGCAGCACCCCCAGCGACAACATCGTGCGGAGGTTCCTGAACATCTGTGAGAACACGGAGGGGGCCATCGCGGTCCACTGCAAAGGTGGGCGCCAGGTCCCAGGGGCCCGCCGTGCGTGGGAAGGGCGAGCCCCGCCTGATGAGCCAGGCCTGCTGGGGACAGAAGCTGGGGGATGTTTTCCTCAGGACAGTTGGAGCAAGAGCATATGTTAATAATCCCTTCCTAAAGAAAGGAGTAATCGCCTTGGTGGAGGCCCAGCTTTCCTGACTAGTCAGTGCTTGCCCAGGCTCACGACTCGGAACATAAGCAAGGGGCGTCCAAAGGCTGGGAAGACCATCTTTCCTTAGGTATCTCTGTCAAGAAGCAAACGTTGGTTCCCTTGTCCCCTTTCCCTTCAGAATTACCTTTTCTCCATACTCTTCCACCATCTGGTGCTGCCTCTATGTTGGGGTGTGTGTGTGTGTGTGTGTGTGTGTGTGTGTGTGTATACACGCGCGCGCATGTATAGGCCAGAGTTCGACAGTAAGTTTCTTCCTCGGTCACTCGCTTGTCTTTTTGGTTGCACTGACTGGCCAGTGAGATTCTCCCGTCTCCACCCTCCCTCCTTCCGAGCACCTGGATAGTGGGTGGTCATTTACGGTGCCTGCTTTGTTGTGGGTTCTGGGGCTCCAGTCGCAGGACCCCATACGGGCTTGCGCTTCACTGTCATCCTGGCTCCTCTCTCTCGTTTTCTTTTAATGCTCTCTCCACCTTTCTGCCCTGACACCGCCCTCCCCTGGGTCCTCTGCCCCAGGAGTGGAGGGTCTGCCCACCCGTTACTTGCTGTGGGGACATCTCAGAACTAACGGGAAGACTTAGCTGGGCAGGTGACTAATACCTGCTCTCTGGAATGTGCACTTGGAGACAAAGGTTGCTCAGAGTAGAGCAAGGGTAGGTCTCAGTTTTAGTAAATCCAAAGCAGAGCATTTCGATTTTAATTTGAGGGTTATGTTAAATTCGGAAGAAGCTCAGATCCCACTGTAGGTTTCTGAGTTTGGTGGTCTTTCTTTCTTTATTTTTTTAATTAAACAATTAAACCATTATATTTCTTTTTTTTGTTTTTAGATATTTTTAATTATTTTTTACAATTTATTCATTGTCTATCTAGATTGTAGCCTGCTCCCTGAGCTCCTCCCAGTACCCCGCTCCCTGCCTCTTCTCCCCTCCATCGCCTTCTCCTAGTCCACTGAAAGTTTGGTGGTCACAATTTCAGCAGAGACAAATCGCTCCAGTGCCGCGAGGTGGCGCTGCTCCCACGGCTTTGTGTCCACGGAGGGTTTTTTTTTGTTGCATTTTATGCAAATTGGCCAGTAGGTGTTGGGGATGGTACCGTTCTTTTCATGTGCTGAGCGCTGCTGTAACTGCCTTATTCAGGCAGTGTGGCTTTGGTTCTGACAGAAATTAAAATACCATTTTGTAGGCCCTTGTTTCTATGTTTAAGATTTGAGTAGGTGGAGGAACTTTGCTGAACATGTGAGCCGTGAGCAGCGCCGCGAAGCTGCATTCTCACAGCAGCCTGGAAGGGAGGGAAGCGAACCGCACGTGGCCCCGATTTAGGGATGGTTCCCGAAGCCAGGCCGCGGCCAACTTTGGTGCAGCCTTTCCCTCACCCTCCTCCCTCACCCTGGCGGGCAGGACAGTCCTACTGTGTTGTTAGGAAGGTGCTCCTTGCTCCCTGCTAGCCGGCTTGTTTTGAGTGTTTCCTTGGCACCCTAAGTTTGTTTAACTGTGACCTTCCCGCCAGGAGCGAAAGTGCTCTAAGTAGAATCTTGTGCCAGCTGCGTTTGGCTATCAGGCTGTGAGATAATGGACCCCAAGAAATTGGATTTTCCTCAGGAATTTCATGCTGGGGGAAGGGAAAGAATGAAGCCAGCTAGAGGAAGGGCGTATGTGTGTATGGGCGTATGTGTGTATGTGTGTGTGGGAGTCGGGGGGTGGGCGGGAGGATGGCGGTCTTTCACATCCATGACAACTTATCAGGTCACTTTGCAGGACCTCTTGGTTCCTCTCCCCACCGCAACGCCTTGAATGAAGCCTTTTCTGTGTTCTACTCTCAACGGATCTTCAGACCACTGTGACTGGGGGGTTAATTTGCGTCGTTGTGCGCGCGCGCGTGTGTGTGTGTGTGTGTGTGTGTGTGTGTGAGTGTGTGTGCGTGTGCACATGTGTGCGTGTGTGTGTGAGTGTGCGAGTGTGTGTGTGTGCGAGTGTGTGTGCGTGCGTGTGTGTGTGAGTGTGCGTGTGTGTGTGCGTGTGCACATGTGTGCGTGTGTGTGTGAGTGTGCGAGTGTGTGTGTGTGCGAGTGTGTGTGCGCGTGTGCACGTGTGTGAGTGTGTGTGTGTGTGCGAGTGTGTGTGCGTGCGTGTGTGTGTGCGCGTGCACGTGTGCGTGTGCACGTGTGTGCGTGTGTGCGTGTGCGTGTGTGAGTGTGTGTGTGTGTGCGTGTGCGCGTGTGTGCGTGTGTGTGCGTGTGTATGTGTGTGTGCTGTGGTAGTTGGGACGCAGCCCCTGCCCCTCACACTGGTAACCTGGTGGTCCCATATTGTTAAAGGTTGCTCAGGTGCAAGGCAAGGCCCAGCTTTCACGTGTCTCATTTGTCAGCAGAACCTGAGAGCTTGTGGATTGTGGCAGTGTACTTTAGTATGGGATACTCCTATCTCTCTTTCAAAGTTCAGTTTCCTATTAAAAAAAAAAAATGAGCATTTTTCCTAGGAAACTTATTTGGCCTTTTCCCTAGTCGGTTTTATTATTATAAGGTCATATGTATGTCTGTGTATTTATAAGCCATATTTTGGATTAACAAATTCAAGGGAGAAAAAGACAAAGCTTTTATTTATTTTTTTAATTTAAACCTTTATTTTAAACTTTTATTTATTTATTTATTTATTTATTTTATTTAAACCTTGTCACATTTTTTTCCTCCTCCAACTCCTTCCCTATCCTCCCTCCCAACTCAACTTCATGGTCTCTTTGCATCACAAAACAAGAAAACAAAAGATGAAAGTTGAAACAAACAAAAAGCCAATGAGACAAAAAAAAAAAAAAAAAAAAAAAAAAAGCTCAAGCAAAACAGAATGAAAAAGCAGCTCCCTCCCTCAACACAAACATGGAGTTGGTGTTGCGTTGGGTATGGGGCCTGCCCTGAGGTGTAATACATACAGTGAACTCCACTGGGGAAAACTGGTTTTCCCTTGGCCAGAGGCTGTCAATGGCAAATGGCTTCTTGGTTAGGGGTAGGATCCTGTGTTCACTTACCCCTCAGCGCTGGGACCCGGTCTGTCCCGATCTTGTGACTGCGGGCACAATCTCTGTGAGTTCACAAGTGCATCAGTCTTGTTCATGCAGTAGATCAGAATGAACACGGAGCCACAGGTGGACCACATACAGAGGGTGAAAGACTTTGGAGCACTCAGTCCCGAGTGGGAGGCCTTTTTAATGCCCCCCCCCCCACACACACACCAAGGCTCAGGGATCTAAGTGGAAAGATTGTAAGAGCCTGAGGCAGTGGCTGATTCCAGAGAAGGAGTGTATTCCAGGCAAAGCTTCAATTTAAACAATAGTACAAGAAACACCGGGAAGAAACCCTGCAGCTAAATACGCAGGCTTTCTCTGTATATCACTTACCTGTGAGGGTTTACCTCTTAAGAAATATACACACAGTTTTTTCCTATCACAGAGCTGTTCACCCCCTCCCCATATTTCCAATATCACTTATTAAGTGTTGAAGTGAGTTTTTATAGAGGAAGGTCACATTTATATGTGGTGCTTTGTACAGACATGGCTTTTTCCCTCCAACACCCCCCCCCCCCCCGCCACACCACTTGTTCACACATGTAGATTCTTTTATAAGGATCACACCTTCGGTTTAATTGCAGCTGTTTTGTTTTTAATGGTGTACTTAGCTACCTAGGCTTGCTAATTACTTTGACATCTGCCCTGATTAAGTCAGCTTAATTTTCTGGAAATTAAAGCAGCACTCGGTGTTTTAATTGAACTAAAAGGAGGTGGAAGTGAGACTCACTCCTGTCCTTTGTTAAACGAACTCTCATGGGGACTGGAGAGAGAATGAAAATGTCATGTGTCAACATACAGTGTTATTCGGAGGCAAATTAGACACAGCTTTGCTGCAAGTGTATGAAACTCACCACAAGTCAGTGTCTACAGTCCGTATCGTGGTTGACTAAAAGCATGGCTGTGCATTTGTGACATTTTCTAGCCATGACATTAATCTGAAATACAGCGATGCTGTTTTTCTGTGGTGGGCATATTGATGCCCTCTTGGGAAGCAGAAACATGCCTGGCAGCTGAAAGCACTCGGTCTAAATAGAGCACCTTGCACCCTTCATGCTGTGCCAGGGAGCCCTTTAATTACGGATGCTTTAACATTTTTGTTAAAGTTTTAATAGAAACTTAGTGAAGAACTCTGATTCTGTTCACCGTGGTAAGAGCTCCCAACGATTGAGTGCTAAGTAGGTTCTTTTTATAGACCCAAAATTATAGACTCCTTTGAAAAGGGGGGGAAGCACCTTCAGCTTCAGAGAAATCTGAAAACTCGCAGCACCATCTTTTGGGTGTGAGTAGGATTAGGAGCCTGACCCAGGGTACCAGGCAGCACCCCTCCTGAGGAGTGGTCCCCAGGAAGAAGCCCACCTGCTCTCCAGACAGGGACCCACACTGGAAACCCTGGGGACCAGCTGCTCCTGATGCCTCCTCTAGCATGCTCGGTTACAACCTTCCATACATTTACACCAGCTTTGTCTCGGATCCAGAGAATTATTGTCATAGTGTCTTCATATTAAAGCGAGAGTCCAGTGAGACTGTGGTTAACTCCACTCCTATGGATGTTGAGGGTTGACCTGGGCCAAAAGGTACTTGAGGTAAATAGGGCATGCACACAATACCTCATCTAAAAACAGTGTGTGCATGCTGTTCAGAACGGAAAGGCAGCGCTGGGCGTCTGTAGGCATGAAAGTGGCTATCCTGGTCCTTTCGTTTTCACGGTGGATGGGCATTCTAGGCAGGGTGCCACCAAGCAGGTGAGCTTCTTGTGCCGGTCGACATCCTCTTGATTTAGTTCTTCCTGCACAAAGGACAGATTTACACGCAGTGTGTAGCAGGTACCTGGAGCAGTATAATTTCATGGTGGACGATTAGAAATAAAGTGTCCGTAGCTGCTCCTGGGAAGCAGTAATAGAAAAAAGGCTGCGGGCCAGATGGCTCGGCAGGTCAAGGCTCTTGCTGCCAGGCGTGCCAACCTGAGTTTACTGCTGGGACCCACACCTCGAAGGAGTTAACAGACGCTTGAGCGCTGCTGTCTGACCTCTGCATGCACATGTGCAGCGTGGAAAAGTCAATGTAACTTCACTAAAATAACCATGGAAAAACAGGTTTAAAGGCATCCATTCTCTGTATTTTTAATACTCCTTAAATTAGGTTGGGCTTAAAAATTGGTGGGCGGTGATGTATGTTACACCACTGGACATGATGACTGTCTCTCAGATTTGATCAAATACTGTGCATTTTATAGTCCTGGGAGATTAGATTATCTTCATTATTTGACCAAGGAAAGCTGACAAAGTGGTTTTTTCTTTTTAAAACACAGTATTCTTTTTCTTTTCTATCAAGTCAGTGGTTTTATTTATTTATTGTAGCACAGGGGATTAAACGCAGGGCCTTATGCATGCAAAACAGATTCTCTGCCACTAAGTTACACGCCCCCCCCCCCCCCCCCCCCCCCCCCCCCCGCCCCCCTCCCCTTTCAAAAACAAAGATACCTAAGGTTTCCTCTCTTTCCCCCCCCCCCCCCCCATATTCTCCATCTCTTTTTCGTCCTCTCCCTTCCTCCCCTTTTATTTTCTCCCACTCTTCCTGCCTTTTTCTTTCTGGCTCTCACTATTTAGCCCAGGCTGGCCTTGAACCTCATGATGCTCCTGCCTCTGCCTCAGCCTCCTCAATTCTAGGATGGCAAGCACATGCCACAGAGTTGGTCTTCCTATCTGCTTTTCTAATGAAATGTCTTCATAGGTGAATTTCAAGGTCAGAAATTTCAGTCATTTTAAATTTCATTGTGAGCCAATCCAGATGTCTTTTTGATTCATCCCTTGCTCCTTATTGCTGCATTCCAGCCCCTCTTGGCCATCTTTGCACCCCAGCTTCATTCCACCTTTTCTTCTGCCCACCCCTCTCCTTCCCTCCTAGCCAGTTTTGTGCTTCCAGATCCATTTCTTTTCATCATGTCACTTTCTTACCATAAAATGTAGGGCGCCCTCATTTGGCCCTTTCCTTTGGTTAAAGAAGTATTGTGTCGGTCTTTTCCTTTTCATTCAGTGCTGAGACTTGAACCAGGGGCATTGCACGTGCTTGACAGGTGCTTTGCCAAGAAGCTACATTTCCAGCCTGAGAAAACGTGTATTTTCACATGAGAGAAACTGGGTGAACATCAGCCGCTGCTGCTACCATTGCACTGGAATCCAGTGCTGTCTGTGGACAGGGTAGTTTCCTTGTTTTTGTGGGTGTGCATGATACACTTTGCATTTTTTTTCTGTTTCCCATTTTACAGCTGGTCTGGGAAGAACTGGGACATTGATAGCCTGTTATGTCATGAAACACTACAGGTTTACACATGCTGAAATCATTGCTTGGATCAGAATTTGCCGACCAGGCTCCATCATCGGACCCCAGCAGCACTTTCTGGAAGAGTAAGTAGCATTTTCCTATGATTGCATTTGGCTCTGCCCCTGATCCTTCCTACCTCTTGTTCCCTGTCTGTGGACCCAGTTACAAAATGACTGCTCTGTTAGAGAAGGCAGCACCTCTGGTAGACTATTGTTGACTTGACAGCTGAGGTGCTGCGATCTTGTACTTCACATCTCTTAGATGAGGTGACAGGGAGAAGAACCTCACCATCTCTGCCTACCCCCTTTCTGTCATTTTCTACAGTGCAGTTTTCTTATGTCATCCTACTTGGCACTGCTCATTCTGTCTAAAAACAGAATGACTTAAAAAAAAAAAAACCAACAAACCCTCACAACCGGGGTCAGTCACTGGGGTCAGTCTCTGAGGTCAATCGCTGGGTTTAGTGAGGCAACAAAGCTGCTAATGAAACTGTGGTTTCTGGATTCATGCAAGAAGGGATCGAGGAATGAAAAGAGAAGACTGGCCAGGTTTCCATTCTGACCAGGTTGCTGCCAGCTTCATGACCATCATTTGGAAGATCCCTTACAAGCTCACATATACTTGTGTTTTCCTATCCAACCCCGTGCCACCGCTGTAGAAAGATAAAATTTGCAAGAATGCCCTTTATTAAACAAGTGGTTTCCCCTTAAAATATTAAGCACTTATATCAATTTACCCAAAATAGAAGGATTTTTTTTTTAAAATGAGATAAGGTCTCCAATAGCTCTAGTTGGCCTTGACCTCAATATGTAGCTGAGGATGATTTTGATGTCTCTGCTTCCACCTTTTGAGTGCTGGGATGACAAGGTATGACATGGTGTTGGGGATTGGACCCAGAGCTTTCTGAATGCTAGGCAGGCGTGCTAACCACCGGACCACACCTCCAGCCTTCCTAGGATGAGATGAAGTTGTACTAGTTGTCCTCAGTCCAGTTCTAACCTACTGTCAGTCTTTCATAGCTTATGCAGACACCCTCATTCTTTCCTTTCCTGTTGGAATGGCTCCGTTGACTAGCATTCTTTTCCACAGAGTCACTCGATTCTGACTTAAATCGGTTTAGTTTGGATGGGGGTATCCTAAGTAAGAAAGATGTCCCAAGTCAGCTCCTAGCATCTGAAATGATTAAGAAGTTTGGAGCCCGAGGGATTACTGGTTTACTAATCTACAGGGGAATAACTGCTAAGAAAATGAGCATCGGGAAATGAGCAGGGAAAACTCCACTTGAGCACTTGAGAGTGTGATTTGGGAGTGTAATGAGTTTTAAAGAAAAGTTATGCATAAATAGGGTCATTAAAAAAAGACAGAAGTGTCTAGGCTTTTCGCCATGGGAACAAACAAAATTAATCTGTTGTTAGGGTTTTATTCTTAATGAGACTCCCGGCCTCAGGCTTCCTCTAATTTTCTGCAGCATGGGATATATGCCATGTGCTTATTATGCTAACTGCTTGGTAACATTGAGTAAGTGGCTTCAAGGTTCAAAACTCAAAGCCCAAGTATTCCTAAACCTAGTTCTTCAAGCCACTTTCCTAGTCTTAAAAATGATCTGTTGGAAGACTACCTCCTCCAAAGGCACATTGAACCCCCCACTTGCTCCAGGCTCTCTCCTATGCCCTGGATTGGCTTAGGTTGTCAGGGTCCCCCGTACCCCCCCTTTTTGCTTGTGTCCATCCTCTCAGTGCTCTTATCACCCCATTTTTCTCTATCTTCTCTCATAATGGTACCAGAAGACATTAGGGTCACGAGGCGCCTGCACTGGCTTGAAGCAATGCCCTTCATCTGTAGGTGCATACGCTATATGACTATGGCGGGATCTTTCGATGGGAGTCATACTGCAGTTTTCCAAGTATTTGCCTATGCAAACTGCAGGAATGGCCTACTTCCATAGCTAAGTATTGTAACGCTTGGAGCAGAACCTTCCAGAAGGTAGAATTCTTTTATTCCTTTTCTGCTTTGTGAGGTGTTTTGAACTTGCATGAAATGATGTCTGTATTGCTCGTGGGCTCTCCCAGGCTTTCTTAGATAGTCTCCTTTAGTGTTGTGGTCCAGAGCTATTCTGCCAAGAAGCAAACTCAACTTTTTGCTCTCTTTTTGTGTTCTTTCCCGATGTAACCCTGGCTGTCCTAAAACTCACTCCATAGACCCCGAACTCAGAGATCTGCCTGCCTCTGCTTCCTGAGCACTGGGATTAAAAATGTGCATGACCACTGCCTGGCAACTTTTTGCTCTCTTATCCTTTCCTCTTTGGCCCCTCCTCTCAGTTTTCCTAGCCTGTGGTTGGTGTAGCCCCTAGGCATTGTCATTTAGTGCACCAGGAACCCACATTCATCCAACAGCTGTGTACTGCGCGCAGGCTTATATCAGGCAGTGTTCTTGCTTCCAGGGTGCAGCAGTGAATGTCTTAGCCGAGGTTCTTTGAGCTTGTTTGGAGAGGAGTGCAGCTACTCGTATACCCTTGCCCGGGGATCGGTCTTCCTGATTTTGGGGAAGGTCGTCCTCTTTGACCGAGTGAGGGAGGAAGAGGGCACCCGCCTAGCCTGGCAGATCAGCCGAATCAAGCATGGCGATCAATGGGGTGACAGACATCACAGCCAGATGGCCCCCACATCCAGCCACGGTTCTTATAGTACTTGCCTTTCTACTGGGAGAGTAGGCAATAGGTGGGTGACGTGCATTTGTATGTGGAATGGCTTTTGATGGTAGGTGCTATGAAGATGTAGTAGGGGGAGAGGCTGATAGGTAGGGTTGAGATCTCTGCACTGGGAGATCAAGGAGAGCTTCATCGATGAGTGTTGAGCATTTCAGGACAAGAAGGACCAATCCCTGCCCACATCCTAACTGTGTTCCATGCAGGGAGCATGTGCAGGTCCTGAGGTAGAAACACAACCACTGTTTCAGCAGGTATGGCAGTGCATGACAACCCCAGAACTCAGAATTCCAGGGCAGGAAAATCACAAGGTCAAGGCCTGCAGGGCTACAGAGAATTTACAGGCCAGCCACAGAAATATAAGGGTACTACCTCAAAAAGCAAAGTGAAATTAGAAAAAAAAGAAGACTGAAAGCTGGTGCCCATGGACTGTAATGAGCTGGATGTGGGTGTTTGAGAGGCTAGGTTGGTAAGTTAACAAAGTGATTCCCCCCCCCCTGCCCCGCCCCGTGTAACCTTCTCACGACCAAACGACCAAGCCGTGGGAAACACCGGCACCCCGAGCGAGGGCTTGTGTTGGGCACCATTCAATAGGCAGTTCTCCCGCCAAAGTGACTATTGTTCCTACTTGTCTGTCACACCATAGATGAGCCGTGCGGGCTTTTGAGCCGTGTCTGAGCAAAACTGGGAAGTGGGTGTGTCTAGCTTTTTAAATTGCACATTCTTTAGTCTTTAGTGCTTTCGATAGAAAAGCCTGTTTACTTCTCTTGCTGTGTAGCATTGAATGTCTGCATGCATGATGCTGTGTCCCCCGGATGAGCGTGTAGGTTTTTTCCAGTGTTGCCTAACTTGTGTCTTTTGCTTGCACTGTCTGATGGTTGTGTACCTGTGAGAGGGCACTCGGGTATGGCCCTTAGGAGTCTTAACCAGCAGTTTCTGGAGGTCTGGCAGCTGAGGGGCTGAGTGGAAGTCTGCAGTAGTGCGGGGCTGGCTGGCGTAGGGGTCAGAATGAGAGGCAACACAGGGCTCTGGCTTCGGGGACATGATCTCACAGGCATCTGCAGGGCTGCACTGGATAAGCATGTTTATTTACCCTCTTTTCCTGTGATTAGGCCTTTCTCTTGCCACTTTAAACATAGCATTGAACCTTCTCCAACGCTGTTTTGTGCTAACAGCAGCTTTTCTTTTGCTCTTCCCCCGTTGCTGCAGAGAGCTGACAGAAGGCTTTCTCTGTGAAGTGTAAACAACCTAGAAGAGAGTTTAATCTTACCCTCCTTTCAACACGTACCCCTAAGTTCTTAATGAGCCGACTTTGAAGTAGTTTTTTTTTTTTTTTCCTGCCTTAATTCTCTGTTGTTGTACCAGATATCTGCTAAGAATTAGCTTCCCAAGAGGAGAGGTTCATTTTAACTCATTGCCTCCAAGGTGCCAGTCCATGATTGCTTGATCCTGTTGCTTTTGGTCCAGTGCATCGTCACAGGGAGTGAATGGAGGGCAAACAGCTTGCCCGTCCTGGTTATGGCTGTAGAGGGAAGAGAGAGGCGGAGCCAGGGCCTGTTCCAATGATTTAACGTCTTTGTATGGCCCATCTTCTAAAGGGTCTCTCACAGCAGTCCCATGGGCTAGGAAACCCCCACTTAGACCTTTTGCAGGTTGGGAGTGGGGGATCAGCACCACGTTTTGCATTGTTTGATGTGGAAATTTACTGCTACAATTGTCTTTAGATTTCAGATTTTTTTTTCCTCAGTAATCTTTCATTTTCCTGTTGCTATCACCTTTGTCTGCCTTTGAAATCATCTCAGACATGGCAGAGTCCTTCCTTTTCTCCTTCCCACCCTTCTTTCTTCCCTTCCTTCCTCTTACAAATATTTGTTGAAGGCCACTAGGTAAGTAAACTGGGAAGCTGGAGTAAAAGTTAGGGCTTGGTTTTTAAGAGTTCATACATTGGGGTTGGGGAGAAATGTGTGAACAGATTGGTGTATAAATTATACAGCTGCTCTGGGATGCTATGCAGAAAAGCAAACAGAAGAATAAGGGGCTAGGGGCTAGCGCAGCTTTAAATAGATACGTGCTCATGGAGGAAGTGAGAGTGCAAATCACATGGAAAGTCTTGAAAACTTTTTCTGACTTTTATTTTCTTCTTTCTGGTTTAAATTATAATTGGACAAGTGAACATTGTATATACACGTGTATATACACAATGGTTTGAAGTGTATACGTACTGTGGAATGCCTAATTAACAAGAGCATCGCCTGACATCTGTTGTGGCACCAACACTTGAAAATCCATTCTTTCAGCAATTTTCATTTTGCTCAGTACATTGCTGTTAGCTATAGACAGCATTCGGTACAAGAGCCCTGGTCCAGTGTCTCCCAAGCT